TTGAACGAAATATTGAAGGAAACCAAACGTATACAGTATATGTAATTACAGTAACTTGCACACTTTCCAAAGAGATTGCAACAGCTAAGCGGTTAAGGAAAGTAAAAGTAAAAATGAACGAAATAAAATGTCTCGGAAATTTTTATACGGTACAGTAGAACTTCGATTATCCGAATTCAATATCGGTAGTTAATTTCTTTTTATTTTCGATAAATCATTAATACAAAATAGCATAAGATAATAGATCGAGGTATCATCGAGTTCCTTCTATATAATACAAGAGTTCCATCGTTATTATTTGGAATAGTTCGGTTGATCGAGATTCTACAGTATTACACCGAGAATTTTCTGTTCTGTCAAAATGTAGCAGAAAAACACATTGCAATCCGAAGCAACAAAATTACGTGTCTACAGGGGGTCCCAAAAATGTCTCGCAATCCGGAAATGGCGGGTTCCTCGGATCATTTGAAGCAGCTTCTTCCTTTACAAAAATGTTCTCCGCGACACCGTTAACGAGTTATTAACGAAAACCAGTGACCAATAAGAATCGAGTACGGCTGACGCGAGGCGGCCCAGCCAACCAGCGCGCGAAGCCCAGTTCCGTTCATTGACTCGGTCGCCTCGCGCCAGCTGAGCTCGCCTCTCATTGGTCATTGTTTTCCGTTAATAACTCGTTAACGGTGCCTCGGAGAAAATTTTTGTAAAGGAGAAAGTTGCTTCAAATGACCTCAGAAATACCCTACTTTCGGATTGCGAGACATTTTTGGGACACCCTGTATATACACGACTGGCAGCATTTTCGAATATACGTATCGTCAGAAGTAACAAGGATAATTCAAGTTCCAGTCGCGCGGCGTATTTGTAAGCGGGACACGCGATTTGCGGGGCTAATTATCGAACATTTCTTTCGGAAACGAACGCCTCCCACGCATCGGCCAGGTACGTTCCAGCCTGTTGAGTTTTCGAGGCTGCTATTGGCGCGAGCCCGAGGCTCCTATCTGCCTCGAGTACGCTCCAGGAAGCAGAAATCAACGGGGCATCGTCAGAGGGGCTTTATCTTCGTCGCAGGTTTAATTAATTTCGAGTTGATTAGAGAGACATTTTCGGTTCGTTACCGTAATTGGGTCAGCAGATAACGCTTTCGAGACGAAACGGCGATGCGGCCGGCGACTTCCCGAAGCTGGGCCCTCGGAAACGGACGAACGGGCGGCGGAAGAACGAAAGAATGAAAGAAACAGAAAACAAAAAAAAAAGAAAAAAAAAGAAATCGGACGATCGTCATTGTCGCCGATGGACAACCGTGCGCGTGATACAGAACGTTATAAAACGATGACGGCACGCGAGGGTTACGTCGACCAGATAACGAACAGTCAACCGAATTTCATTGATAGGGAATCACGCCTCCGCTCCGCCGACGGAAACACGAGGATGCGACGTAGACCGTGTATGTAATTGGAACAACCGCGAAATGGCGTACAGCTACAATATCGAGGAGGTGCCGCCGGACGATGTGCCGTGCGTCGAGCACGATGTCCGACGCGCCAAAATGTTCCTGCAGAAACACAGCCCCGAATCCGGCGATAGCCTGTGAGTTCCCGCATTTGATTCTGCCTGGATCCGCGTACGTGCGAATTTTCGGAAACAAAATATCGGAACTCCGATCATTCATCGCGTTCGATGAATCTAGAAATCGCGACGAGGTTATATTGCGATGCGCAAGTTGTTCGAGACTCGCCTGGTCTCTTTATTTTTAATCCCTGGTCTACTCTTCGTGGTATATATTTTTGTTCGGAACGCGATGTGACGCGGTGGTCTTTAAGCCTTCGAGCGAGCGATGTTTTTTCTGCATTCGAAAGCGCGTTCCGTTGATTGAAATCGACGGTGCTGATTCTTTAAATGGATGTAACGTCATTCGAGATCAGTCCGGTTTCTTCATTTTATTCGTTTCCTCGTCACCGATGAATGAGGTGCGTGGTTTTTAGGTGTTCATAAGATCGATATATATTCCTCCATTTTTGAAAGAATAATGTTAATGCAGCGATAGCGTGAAATTAATTGATAACGCTCCTATCGCGAAAGGATTTAGTGCTACGATCATTCTTTATTATTATTATATTTTAATATAATTATTATATTTATAATAATTATTATTATTATTAGAATTATATAATATATAATAATATAATAATATAATAATAATAATAATATAATAATAATAATAATAATAATATATAATAATATAATATTAATAATAATATATAATAATATAATATTAATAATAATATATAATAATATAATATTAATAATAATATATAATATATAAATATGTAATAATTATTATATTATTATATTTTCTAGATCGCCGGTAACTTTCTGTAGAACAAGTATCTTTAAAAGAAACAAAAAAAAACGTCTCGCCTTTATAATAATAATAATTGTGAAAGGTGTGTTTGAGATTATTCTGATAACTCGTGGTCATTCAAAGACGCGTTTGAGCCGCATTTCCCGTGACGAGGAAAATATTTAGATAGTCGATCTCGCGTACCGCATTCTGTATAATAGTGCACAACGACGTATCGCTGATAGTGTCACTTTGTACGATTATTATCAGCGAGCCGATCTCCAGATAGGTGGGCAAAGGGTTCTTCGAAAGCGAGCTCACAGCCGGATCCGGAAAATAATTCGCAGTAAGCCCGGGGCAATCGTGAGCCGGACCATCAAAGCGAAAACGCCGCGGAGCGGGAACTTTCTACCTAGATACTTGATTTAATTAAACGCGACCGACAAATCTTGATAACTCGAACTTGTCAAAGTAACTTCCGTCGCGCGGACCTTTGTACATAAAGACATGGATCAACGAAGCGCTGCGGCCGGCGATCGAGTAATTTAGCCACTTGATCGATTCGAAGAACCGAACGAGCCGCGATTTAATTTTAGACTCTCGTTGAACATCCATTTCGGAAAATGAGGATTCTTTTATCCTTGATTCGTCGAGGAGCGCGTACATATGCAGTGGCTAAAAAAAGAAAAGTATTGCCATACCTCGTTAAAACGGTATAATCTTTTTAAAACCGGACCAAATGACATGAATTTTTTTTAGTAGCTAGCTTGCTGTACAAAGGCTGAAATTACTTGGAACGATAGAAAAATATATAAAAAATCTCACGATTTATCGACTTTTTCATCAGTAAAGAATTCTACAGTAAACTAGTCTTATTTGCTAGCTCCAAAGAAATGCAAGTCATTTAGTTCAGTTTGATAAAAAAGTTATACCATTTTAAAAAGTTATGCCGATATTTTTCGACGATTTATCGACTTTTTCATGAGTAAAGAATTCTACAATAAACTAGTCTTATTTGCTAACTCCAAAGAAATGCAAGTCATTTAGTCCAGTTCGATAAAAAGGTTGTACCATTTTAAAAAGTTGTGCCGATATTTTTCGACGATTTATCGACTTTTTCATGAGTAAAGAATTCTACAATAAACTAGTCTTATTTGCTAACTCCAAAGAAATGCAAGTCATTTAGTCCAGTTCGATAAAAAGGTTGTACCATTTTAAAAAGTTGTGCCGATATTTTTCGACGATTTATCGACTTTTTCATCAGTAAAGAATTCTACAGTAAACTAGTCTTATTTGCTAACTCAAAAGAAATGCAAGTCATTCAATTCAGTTCGATAAAAAAGTTTTACCATTTTAAAAAGGTGTGCCGATACTTTTTTATGCGTCGTAGATACGATCACTTGACCGAGGTACTGGCCAAGATTTTAGCTGAGAGACCGAAAAATGCGGTCGACATTTTCGAGGAGTACAGCAGGAAAGTGAAAGAGGAGAGATTCAAGACCGAGACGAATCATCTGCGAGATTTGTACGTTCCACCCGCTCGTTACGAGAACGCGAAGACGCTCGTGCAGCTGTTCAAGGTGCGATTTGACGCTAGAACCGCTAGAAAAGTCGCAGTCCCTCTATTCAGATGTTGATTGTACAATTAACCCTTTCGCTACTACGGGCCACTATAGTGGCCCTCCATAAGATGTCACTGAGGTACTACGGGCCACTATAGTGGCCTTTCGTATGATGCCACTGAGGTACTACGGGCCACTATAGTGGCCTTTCATAAGATGCCACTGAGGTACTATGGGCCACTATAGTGGCCTTCCATAAGATGCATTATATTGCATAATGTTATTTTCTCTCATACTGTAAATTAAAGAGCGCATGCTAAGACGTTATAAATACCCTGGAATACCCTTTATTTATAAATACCCTCTGGAGAGAAATTTTTTCGTACGAAAACATTCAAGCAGCTTGGGTTCTCCGCCGCGGTACTCCCGCTGACGATCGGCGTCGCGTAGCGTGCAGTGATGTCGCGGCGCTCCGTTCAGCGGAAGTACCGCGGTGGAGAACCCGCCCGTAGCGAAAGGGTTAATAACGACATCAACGTATTTCCGAGCGGATTTAATCGGGTAGATTGTGATCAGTAAATTCTCCCTAATTTCCCTTCAGCTTGTGAAGAAAAATGGGTAATTTCGACAGAGGAGACACGATTATTCGAGCCTTTCACAACATTTTTATGATTGTTGACAATCGACAACTATAAAAATGAGCCGCGAGATTCGAATAATCGTATCTCCTCTTCCCAAATTGTCTATTCGTCTGTGCTATTCGTCTACGGAAAACAGACGGTCTTGTCGACAGCAGAAGTGGCAATGCTCGTGTTCATTTTGGAAATTGTTCAACAATTCTCCCTTAAATACCTTCAATACTTTTAAGCCGGTTGATTGTTCGTGCGCATTCGATCGAATGCGTTTCGAGATATTAAAAGCATTCCTCGTGTGACCAGATTTTAACCGTTTGCGTACCAGATGGTTCTGAAAAAAACAGGATCGAAAAGCGCCGAAGAGCGCAATAGCGCTCCTTCGATCATGTGTCGAAAAAAGCCGAAGAGCGCAATAGCGCTCCTTCGATCATGTGTCGAAAAAAGCCGAAGAACGCGATAGCGCTCCTTCGATTATGTGTCGAAAAAAGCCGAAGAACGCAATAGCGCTCCTTCGATTATGTGTCGAAAAAAGCCGAAGAGCGCAATAGCGCTCCTTCGATTATGTGTCGAAAAAAGCCGTAAAACATAAAATAAAACGTTATGAATGAAAATATATATACTATTAATTTATATATATAATAACTATTATTAATAATATACTATTAATTTAGAATAGGTAACAACAAAATGCAAATCGGATTACTGACAGCGATGCGACGCGCGACGTATACGTGCGTCTGAAAGACTGTAAGTCGTCTGTTTCGGCCAAATGCCCTGGCTTTTCTCGACACAAAATCTGAAGAGCGCAAAAGTGGCTCGTGGTGCGCGAACGGTTAAGTCAAAATCTTCAACACTAAGGGAAAATGTTCAACAATGTTTTGCCGTTTAAACAATCAAATTGCGCCCTAAATGGGTGCACCCGAGATTCATCCGGTGCGTAAAGAAGCACGAGGCGCAGATGAAAGTTCGGTTCCATCGATCGAAGTTCTCCTCACCTTCTTCTTATTCGAACTGCAGAACGTTCAGCAGATCGACGAGCAGAGTTCAGAAGGGCTGGAGGATGCGGAGGAAGACGAAGCCGAAGGGAGCAAGCAGAAGAAGCCGAACATGCTGGACCTTTTGTTTTATTTCGAGCAGACTGACGTGGGTCTGCCCCGCGGCGAAATGGTGGTGCTTAATTTGTCCTTGCGGAAGCTCGTGACCGAGGCGCCCATCCAGAACGTCAGGTACGCGCGTTTGGTGGTTAACACGTTCCCTGCCGCGTGGGGCGTATACGCCCCACGCTGAACTTTCCGTTCAAGCCATTTGGTATTATCATTGTAAAATGAAGAATTTTTTAAAAATTCATTATGCAGTCAATTATGGACATCTTAATACTATTGCTGATGCCCTCATTTAATCGTGGGGCGTATACGCCCCACGCGGCGTGATGGGCAATTTTTCTTTACTGTAACTTGTTTTAACTGCATTTCTCTTATTCCGATCAGTCATTTATTCGCGTGTCGTTGACACAATACTTACTGCTTCACTGAAGCTGGGATTGATTTACAGTTCTATAGTACTGTAAAAGTTGTAACATTCTGCGATAGTTGTGTGGATAAACCACACTTATGTTTGCCATGTTTTAACAAAGTTCATCGTAACATCCCTTTGTAATCGCATACAAACTTGAATTTAACTAAAATGTTATATTTTAAACTAATATAGGCATGATAAAAAAAATTATATGTGAGGATGCAACTCGCTTGGCATAATAATGATCAGCCAGGTATTTGTTAAAGTAATTCCTAGAAAAATAAATTTATTGGTTTGCTGTGTTATGCATGTTAAACTATACAACCTTTCCTTGATAATTATGATTTTTGCACTATTTTAATTATTGTAAAGCATACGCCAGAAACAAAATAATACAAATGTAAAGCGTGGGGCGCATACGCCCCACGCGGCTT